TGGTAGAGTAACCGCCTGTACATGGTGTAGAAGGCATTTGGCCTTGTTGGACGTGTTTGTGTTTAAGTCATCAGGATAATTGAGATACGGTCTGTGCAGGTTAAGAAGTTCATGTCGGGTTCAGGCTGAGGTGTGCTGAGCGTCCGTGGAGTGTCAATTAAGAACGCTGTAAAGCTTTAAAAGGTTTATATGGAGTATGTTATGAATAGTCTCCCTTCTGTGTAGGAAATGTCTGACCTCAGTAAATACAGCCCTCCTCCTCAGTCTCCAGAGCTCTACGTGGCAGCTAGTAAGCACTTCCAGCAAGCGAAAATGATCCTCGAAAACATCCCCAACCCAGACCGCGAGGTAAGAGTGGGTGCACGTGCTTCTAGGGGACACCCTTGACAGAAAGCACATCCTGCCATCTCAAAAAAAATGTATATACTCCAGCTAGTAAGAATGGTAGTAGTAAAAATGAACAATAGAAGATCTGTTTCATTTAATTGGAATTTCATTCATTTATTCAAAACATTGTCAAGCATCTACTAGATTCCCAACAGAAAACAGCCGTGATTGGTCAGGGGAGGGGTCCTATTGTGTATTGTGTGGAGTGTGGCAGGAACTCTGGAGAAACTCTGCTGTCATGGGACAGGGGGAACCCTGATTTTCATCTGTCAAACCCAGGGTGTTGAGCACTCTATACAAATGTTTCTACTGCTGGGGTGCATCTCTAGCTGAAAGTGTCTTACATCACACATTTTAGTAAATTCTAGGAGAAGCAAGTCACAGCTGTCTGGGATGGGACCCTTCCAGTTAGAGGACCCAGGTGCAGAACAGCCCTGTTCGTGGAGCGTTTGAGCAGGCTGGGGCTCTGCTGGATCTGGGAAAAGCTAGGGACCCTTGGAGTGTAAGCAGAGGGATGTTGGATGTGACTTGATACACACTGCTCGGGATTGGCTCCTGCTTCGAAGGTGGGAGGGGGTGGGGCGTCAACAGTGACTGCTTCCCTTTGCATTTAAAGTCCTCTGCATTGAGAGTCAGGGATGCCTTGAAAGGTTTTGGCCTGAGCAGCTGAATTAGTTGATTGCCATGGTGGCAAGGTTGCTGTGGTGTGGGCCAGTGTGATGGACATATCAAATTTTGGTTATTATAAAATTTCTGAGACCTGTATCTCACTGGCCAGGAACTTCCTGGACTTAGCTCAGAGCATGGCAGGCCTGATGGCCGGACTCGGGCTGAGGTCACTGCTCTGAAGGGGTGTGCCTGCCTTCTCCATTAGCTTTTAAATGGGGCTGCTGTGTTTCCAGACTGTGTTAATGAGCAGCAGTGGGAACTCGATGGCTACTCAAGAGAAATCTAGCAACCCTTATTTATGGTGCACGTGTTTCAGTGAAACCATTTAGACCAGGAGTGTTTCTAAGCTTTAAATACGGCCGTGCACCAGAGGTGCAGAGCTGGGCAGTGCTGTCTGTGCAGCGTGGAACATACAGCTGGAGACTGCACATTGGCTCTGTCCTCAGAACAGTTCTTAGGGAGGTGACAAAGCCTTCACCTTCATTTCTGTGAGGACTTTGCTATCTATCAGTGGTAAGGTTGGGGTGTTGCTCCTGTTCTGACCCCGACTTCTATCTGCAGAGCATGCAGTGAGTAAAGGCTCGTGACTGGTGGGTGGATGGGAGGCGTGTGGAGTGGTGTGTCGTCTGCGAGTGTGGCTCACGGCACGGCGGCGCAGCGTCAGCACTCCATGGCTCCTGTTGATGCTGGGATGCTGAGCGCTCTTACTGTTTTAGGTCAGTAGGATCCTTAAGGTCGCCAAGCCCAACTTCGTGGTTATGAAGCTCTTAGCAGGAGGACACAAGAAAGAGTCAAAGGTGAGTGCAGCGCTCCCTGTGCACTAGTAGAGAAAAGCATAACCATTGTGTACGAGTCATCCAGAGGGGTGGGCTCGGCGTTAATGAGCAAAGCTCGTCATTTTTCTTCGTATCATTTAGAGACTTAGAACTCTCTTTCTCCTGCTCCCTCCCATACAAATTACTTGCTAACTCAGGGCAGTTAAAAAAGGGTGAGCCAGTGTCAAGAGCTCAGAAATAGGGGCTGGCAAAATGGTCAGTGGATCAGGTGCCTGCCATGCAGTCTGACGTGTGCGTATAACCGGAACCTACCCTGCAGGAGAAAAGACGCTTCTCTCTCTCTCTCCCCCTCCATGGCAATAGGCCCTCGCCCACATATAAAATAAATGGAATAAAATGTTTTAAGACAATGTGTAAAGCAGACCTTTGGGGAGAAGTACAAGGTGTCTGACACATAGCATCTACAGTAGTTGCTGTGCACGGCCTGAACATTCATTCGCAGGTGTATTCATGGGCTTTCTGGCTTTCTTCATAGGTTCCTCCTGAATTTGATTTCTCTGTTCACAAATACTTTCCTGTCGTGAAACTGGTGTGAAAAGGCTGCAGAGATGACCATGTCCACTCTGGGGGATACAGCACTCTGCCACACACAGTGACGTCAAGTGGATTTCCTGGATGAGAGCTTGTTACAAGGAAGATTTTCAGTTTAACACCCTGACCTGGTGGCAATGAAAACTGCTGTTTTAAAGTGGTTTATTATACTCTATGGGTGTAACCGGGCTGGAATGCATTGCTGAACATTACATGGTTTTATTACAGATGTAATTGTAAAACTTTTTTAAATGAATGATTGAGTGAAACAGTGTTTGTAAAGGTTAATAAATTTCTTGACAAAAAGCGCACTGGTGTAGCACTGAGGACTGTGGTGTGGACATTGCCATCTAGCACGCTGGCCGAGGCACTGTGAGCCTTCAATCCAGCCCTAGGCAGAGACAGCAGGATCAGGCTTTGGGTACCCTCAGCTGCGAACTACGCTTGAGACCAGCCTGGGCTACATGAGATCCTATCGTAAACACCAAGCAACCTCAAAAACTGATCAAAAGACGTTCCAAAACACAGTTTATTACGCGTTTAGACTCCGGTGAAACCTGAAATGGCTCTGACGTACTGAGGGTTGTGGCTGTGTTGTGACACGGTTTGTGAGGATTTACAGTCCTGCGGTTTAAGAACTGCATCACGCCGCATCACGCTGCAGTGCCAGCTGCTGGCGGCAGCAGGTGACGTGCGTACTCGTGCTGAGCTTTGGGTTGGATGTGGCGCGTGCATGCGTGCGCGGTTGGCCCCGTTCGGCCTTGTGTGCTGAGCCGCAGGCCTTGCTCCTGCCCTTGTTTACCGCCCACTCCTCTGCGCTGCTGTTACCACAGGTGTCCGAGCCTGTGGTTCCCTTCTGTGCTAACCCTGAAGTTTCACCTGTGGCTGCGGCTGACCAAGGTGGTTGGCAGTTCGCTTGGCTTATGGGGAAAAGGACCCTGAGATCTCAGTGCCCTGACCCTGGCACTTTTTTTTTGTGGTGCTGAGGATGCAACCCATGGCTTCCCCTGTACGAGGTGTCACACATTTCCTAGGGATATTTGGAACATGCCTGAGGAACTTCTTACAGTGCTAGTGAACACAGAAGGGCGTTGCCGACTTCCTCGCCAGTACGGAGGTGGTCTCTCTAACTGTCCAACACAGGCGCTAGGCAGCCTGGAATTTTAGAGTCCCGATCATTCTCACCTGGAAATCAGCAACGTCTACACTTTAGACCAGAACTAAAGCCAGGGCAGGAAATGGGCACGAGGAAATACAAAGTCCCTGTGCACATTGGAAGCTTGGAGTAGAACGACTAAAGGTAAATAAAAGAGACTGCAAGTACCGAGTGTCCACCTAAACGTCCGGTTGTATGTCAGATCTGAATGTTTGGGCAGAGAGACATAACCGGCATCTGCCACAGGTGATGAAATGTATGTTTTTAAAGAGGGGTTAAGCTTGGGTCAGATGCAACATGGGCAGTTTGCTTAAAATTAAACAGCAGACAACCTCAAAGCCTGAGAAGCGCCTCACGCTTGAGAGAGCCCCATGGGAAGCGGGTGTCTTCGGGGTGATGCAGTCAAGCTGCAACTGGTTAGAACCCACTGACCAGAGTTGTGAGCTACATGAAGCCTGTGCATTTTTCAAACACTGCGTAAACTACGGAGAAAGCAGCTCGTGTGTTTGTTTCTCTTGTCTGTGTAGGCGTTCCCAGCTTGTTTGTGACCTGGGTAACCCTCGGCAGCCAGCCCTTCTTCCTGGACTCTTAGTGACACAAGTCTCTGGGCCTCCAACCTTGCACAGCTCCCTCCGCATCCTGGCTGCCCATGCAGCTTCTGTCCAGAGCCCAGTCCAGCTACTGCATTTCCTGGTGAGGTACAGTGGCTTACTGGACATTTCCCTTTGCCCACTCAAACAAAAAACAAGATAGAGACCATAGGTGCTCACATTGAGTAACTTGATAGTGTTCTGAACATCAAAAGAATAACCAAGGTTATGTAAACCAGTAGTCTTTAAGGAAGAAAGAAAACCCTCCCGCTCGATTGGTGTTTTGAGACAGGCCTTACCTTCTTGCCCAATCTGGCTTGGAATTTACTATGTAGGTCAGGCTGGCCCAGAACCTATAGTTCTTTCTACTTCAGCCTTCCGCGTCCTAGCGTTAGCCAGGAGTGGTGGCTGTCTTATTTGCTGCTTGCACAGAACAGCTTTGCATTGAGACTTGTCCAAACTGACGAGTGGTCTCTGCTGACGGTGAGAGCTCTGTGCCGTCGATGGTAGAATCAAGTATGTGCTGGGAGGTGAGCCACTCGGTCGGTGCCAGAGGGCAGACCCTGGCGAGCAGCGGCAGGGCAGCGCAGGGGGAGCAGTTGTGCGCCAGCAGCTGGCCCACAGGCTACGCTGTCTACACTGCAGAATGATGAGGCTCACCTCTCTTTTTGGTGTTGCCTGACTTGCAACAGAAATAAATACCTGTTAAGAAAGCTTAACCAGTTTGACATCCTTTGTAGACCCTTTAAGAGAACCCCCAAACTGTCTGAAACAGCTCCATTTTTCTTTGCTACTGATTAAACCCTCCCCCCCCCCCCAATAATCATCAGCCGATGGACAATTCACTTTGTCCATTTCACAGTTGAGTCTTCGTAGAGTCTCTGTTCAGGCCTGTTGAGGAATATGGACTTCTACTTGATTTTGGATGAGACTCTGCTTCTCACTCCAATTGGGTAAATTTTCTGGGCCTCTCCTCTGATCTTCAGCATTCAAAACTGAAAACGAAAAACGGTATTCCGATATTAAGCTCTTAGAGAAACAGCCTGGGCAAAGTCTCACTTCATGTCCATTTTTAGAATTTTCATAAAGAGAATTAATCTTCCACAGCAACACTGGTGCTTAAAATCGTGTCCCTGTCAAGACAGCAAACGAAATCGTGCGTACAGCTAACAGTGCGCCACAGAACAAAGCTGAAAGCCCCTGAACACGCCACCGTGACTGAATGGTGAGATAGTACAGCCCCTGTGCTGTATGACTTCTCCATACGTTAGCACTAATGGCACACATTCCTTCCCAGCCAGAGCCGCCTGCCTGCAGCTTCCGGTGAGGCCGCTGCTCCAAAGCTCACCCACAGAGCTGAAGACTAAGCTGCCAGATTGGGCCAGTACACTTGAGAAGAAGATCAAGAGATTCGAGTAAGCCCCTCACGGTGGCCCACACTCTTGATCCCAGACCAGCACTCACTTGGAAGGCAGGGGCTCCTGAGTTCGAGGCCAGCCTGGTCTACGAAGTCAATTCCAGTACACCTAGGCTACACACGGAAACCTTGTGTTGAAAAACAAAAGTAGCTAGCGGAGTGACAGGTTACAGACACAAAACAGGCGGGACAGTAACGCGTAGCGAGTGAGCCTAGGTGACAGACAAAGAGGGACGTCAGCTGGACAGACATTCACTATGTTTGGGCAAATCCATGATTACATAGTTTATTACTGCAACGTTTCATGTGGGCAATTAGACTGTGACTACTTAAGATGACATTTGGGGATTGGAGGGAAGATGCACGGGAATCCTTTTGCTACTTTTTAGGACTTAAAAAGACTTGGTTTGTAATTACATGGCTGTGTGCGTAGGTGTGTATCAATACAGGCCCATGGAAGCCAGAGGAAAGTCCTCTGGAGCTGGGGCTACAGGCAGTTAGGGGCCACGCAAGCTATGAGCTGAGCGTGCCAGGCTCTGAAGGTGGATCTCTAAATACTGAGCCATCTCTCCAGGCCTGATTTTGTTTTTTTTTAAAAAAGAAAACATCAAGAATTGCTCATGTGGTAATGAAAGGCGGCGGCTTTGAATCCCAAAAGTGAGGAGGGAGTAACAGGCAATAATTAAGAAGCAAGTCGGCCAGAGAAATTCTGATGAAACCTAGCGATCCCGGAGTTCTCCCTCAATTCCCAAAGGTGCTGAACTAAGCCTGAATTTGATCTGCAGATCCCACATGATGCAAGAAGAGAGCTGACCAGAACTAACTCTCACAAGTTGCCCTTTGACCTCCATACACGCACAGGCACACACGTGCCTACACAGGTAAGTATAATTTAAAAGGCCAAAAACAACTACAAAAAAATAGCTCAGGTTCTTCCTGAGGTGAGGAGTCAAGCACCTAAAACTGAAATCCTAGTTTAAACATTGGGAGTAAACTTTAGAGCAAATGAAACTGCAAGAAGAGTCCAGAGAGTGTCTGACCACGGAGCGCGGCACGTTTAAAATTCGCGGTGCTTCATGTTACCCAGAGAAGGGAAAGATGCTTGGAGGGGCTGGGCATTATGCGTGCCGCCCACACTCCACCTGGAGGCCACTCATGGAGTGGCCTGCACCCCCTTCACATGCCCCATGCTAGTTAAGGAAAACTAGCACTCAGAGCTGCAGCACCATGCAATGCAAGGAATGGGAAACTGCAGGAAACGTCTGGGCTGCAGAGCAACGGTGGCGCACGCCTTTAGTCCCCGCACTCAGGAGGCGAGGCAGGTGGATCTGAGTCTGAGGCCGGCCTGGTCTACAAAGGGAGTTCAGAACCAACGAGGCTGTTAAACTGAGAAGCCCTGTCTCAAGTAACAAAAGCCAAAAGGGAAGGAAGGGCCTCTCTGCCTGACTACTTACGCTATTACAGCGCTGTCACCACTAAAGAAAAGGAAGAGGAAGATGGGAGGTGACAGGACTGTCCTTACCGTAGGTGTCTCCGCCAGCAAGGGCTGCCTGCTTGTCTCTCTCGGACTCGGCTTCATTCTCTTCCATGCTATAGTCATCTCCCGGGTTCTGCAGCTTTCTCTCTGTAAAGCCAGCGCACGAGACAGCAACATTTCATTCTTGAGGCCAGTGGAGCGCCGGCACCGGTACAGGCTCTTACCAGACCCATACGTAAGAAAACACCCGCCCCATGCACTTCGTCACAATACAAATGCATGGAGAGTACTCAGAAGCGTGCCCCTTCACCACGGAGTCTAGAAAATTCAGCTCCGGTGACCCGGTGCCTGAACCCTAGCACACAAAGGCTGTGGGCTTCGTCCCTAACACACAGAAAGGGAGGGGGATTGTAGTGAGATAGTCCTTCTGTGGCATTGACCACGCCCATTGGGGGGTGGAGCCATGGGCGGAGGTGACCTGTGGAAGGAGGTCGGAGGGGGCCAGGAAGGCGCTCTCTCTTTCTGGCGTGACTCGGACAGGAGAGGATCGGGTTGAATTTCCTGGTGTTCATCTGTCTAGGTTGTTATTTCTCCCTGAATAAACATCTATTCGGCCTATTTGTTTATCCTGATCCTTATTTACCGCAATAGGGGATCCTAAATAAGAACCACGATTCAGTCAGAAAACTGAGAAACTAAATGCCTTTGTGGGAAAGGCAACAAGATTAAGGAAAAGCAACCACTGTTTGAGGAAATAGTGGGTAAATAATAGGTTAATGATGGGACATGACAGTGGCTTGCTTCTCAGAATGACTCCAAGAAAGGGAAGGGCGAGTACCGTGAGCCTCCACGGCCACGTTTTATCCTACACAAAGCACAGAATTCAGACTGAACTGACAGGAGTCTCCCGGCATCTGACGTGTGTGTGCCCAGGAGGCAAACGAGACCTCTCTTAAAAGGAATGCCTGGAAGATCTCTACTCTGCTTTTCCTCTGTGACGTATAAGCGGCACAGAGCAATCCTCAGCGGCTGTGTCCTCCACGTGAGATCGTTCATTGCCGCTGTGTGCGGAAGCAGGTGCAGCGCACAGGCCTGGCAGCTCGTGCTACCTTTAGCTGTGACACCGCACGGCCAGTGGTCAGATGCTTGACCGCCACCTGAGTGGGGTCCCTCCCTCCCATCACGAGCCCCTTCTTGCTGTAGTTAATGGGGTAAGGTTCTGAGCAGTGACAATCAGCAGGGGACTGACAAAATGCACCCTTAAGCAGAACAGCAGAAGACAGGACACACCGTTCTGAAGGACACATTCCTCGGGTCTGGTATTTGTCTGCTCAGGGGTGTGGGTGTCCTGAGTGCTCCTGGCATCAAGGCATGGGGAGTTCGCACACCTCTAAGGCAACAGAGTACACCCAAGATACTTCAATGAGGGAAGGTGGGACTGGCCTGTCACAGTCCCCCGCCTGACCGACCACGATCCACATTGCTCCCTTCAGACACTTGCAGTATGCCACCACAACGCAGTAGGGCCTCCCTGCTGCCAGGCAACATCTTACCTGCCGAGCAGAGTCGCACTGACACTGATTCTGAAAATTAAAATACCATGTTTTGCACTACCTACCCTTACGCTTCCCTCTTGATAACGGACAACAAGCAAACGAGAAATAGAAAGAGTGAACAAGCCATGAAGGACACTTGCTGAAATTCAATCCAATGCCGAGAAAATGGAGAAAGCCACGTGCCTGGCAGGAAGCCTGGGAGCCCACAGAGCCACTCACCTTCCTCAGCAGCAAGCTGCTTTTTCTGCTCCTCTTGGATGGCAAGCTGGTACCGCTCAGGGTACTGAGAATCCTTCTGAGGCCTGGCCAATAGGGCAGCTGGCACTTGTGTGCTCTGAAGTTTCCCGGCTCCTCCGACTGTGCCACTCACGGGTGCCGCCTGTTCTTGGACTGACGCCTCGTGTGGTCCCAGACCGTGTTCTTTGCTGCCAGCCTGAACCTCGGCTTCCTCTGCACAGAACACAGATGATTGCAGGGGCAATCTTGCTTTTTGCTGTCTTGGTTTGAGACAGGGTCATTCTGTGTAGCCCTGGATGTCGCAGAACTTTGTACACCAGGCCGGCCTTGAACTCAAAAGATGCCCCTGCCCTCAGAGCCTGTAGAGTGAGTGCCAGGATGGGCATGGAGCACACACCCCTATCACCCCGTCACTCTGGAGGCAGAGGCAGGAAGATCAGATCAAATGCTAGCTTTGACTGCATTATCGGTTCTCAACCTGTGGGTCACAGCCCCTTCAGCAAACCTCTACCTCCAAAACTATTTCTATTACAATTCGTAACCGTAACAAAATTATAGTTATGGAAATATTTTGTGGTTGGGAGTCATTACAACATGAACTATACTAAAGAAAGGGTCAGAGCAATGGGAATACTGGGCTACATAGTGAGTTTGAGGCCAGCCTGGGCTGCACAAGAACTTATCGCAAAACAAAAGCAAAATATCCCCAAAGTGTCACCACTTAATTCTTGGAGCGTAGCCAGAAAGAATGGCCACAAGGCAAGCGGCACATGTCGGGGTGGCTAGCTGGGGTCTAGCCCCCATTCTTTGCCCCCCCCATTCCCGGCCACAGATGTGTGCTGCAGCTCATCCTCAGGTAAAGTAGCAGACAAGTTGGGGCGTGGCAGAGTTTTGTGAGTTCAAGGCCAGCTTGATCTATATAGCAAGTGTCAGGTCATCCAGATCTACATAAATAGAGATCTGTCTCAAAACAAAACCCAATGAACAAACAAAAATCAGAAAATAACATGAATCCGGGTACCCTGACACCCTGAGGCCTTGGTCTCTTAAGTTCCACGATCTTCCGGTACCCTGGATTAAAGTGCTGTCTGTACCTGTACTTAGAGAGCTGCCAAGGAACTCGGCACTCAGCTGACAAGGACAAGGTGTTGGTAAGACAGCGGAAGCCTGTGTCCCCCATCCAGGGCCCCCAGTGACTGCACAACCCACCTAAACCATACACCGCTGCTTGGAGTTGGAGGCCACGAGCCAGTGGCTGTCTCCACTTACCATTCTGTTTATGTGGCTTTAACGCCTCTGGCCTGGGGGCTGGTGTCTGGGAGTTGTTTCTGGCCACATCCTCTTTCCCCTGTGGCGTCTGTTCCTTTGGAGGGACTACTTGCTGAGGCCTGGGCTGCGGCTTGAGTTCCTGGAATTGAAGTAAGTACAGGACTGCAAGAGTAGGCCATAGACCCTCACTGCGTCACCAGCAAGTGAGAACCCCTAACTCGAACACCCGCCTACCCGGTCACATGAGGTAGACGACTGCGGTGGAGTCCAGGTCGTTCAGAAAGCACACGCAGCAAGGAGGGAGATAAGGGTAAATGTGGCCACCCCAATAAGCCAAGCCACCACCAGCTATCTACAGCAAGCAGCCTGGCACTAAGACAGACCCACCCTGCCCAGGGCGCAAGGACCTGACATCACTGACAATCACACAGAGCATGTTCTCCCATCACGTGGCATGGAACTTGAGAAAGTCACAAATACATGGAAATCAGCACGCCCAGATGACCAAATGATGTCCATTCCCTTGGTTACCCTGAGAAGCTAACTGAGGCGAGGGAAGGGGACTGTCCACCTTCAGGCCCTTTCTGTCACCTGTCCCATTTGGTGGGGGTGCTGAGCAGCAGGGATAATCCAGAACGCAAGCCCATGGCTACTCTAGACAAAAAGAATATCGTCTCCCCCCAGTGAGCTTGCAGCAGGTAGGTAGGCAGCCCATTACAACAGACCCTTCTACAAAGCATATCCTGTCCCATGGCCAAGTAAAAAATTAGAAGGCAATCTGGACACAGGAAAGACCAGAAACACTTAGATGGATAGAAATGGGTTAATATTTAAGACAGAGCCAGCCAATAAGAAATGCTAGTAACAGGCCAACAGCTTTATATCTAATACAGCGTCTCTGTGTGTTTGTTACTTGGGGCTGGCGCTGCTCTGGAACCAGGCAGGCAGGAAAACATACTCGTAACGGACCTGGGTAAGACAAAGTAAAGAAGCAGCTAGATGATCATGATTTGAAAACTCCAAATTCATGTCAAACACCAAACCATAGATGGAGGAAGGTCAGAGGACACCAAACAGGATGCATACTAAGACAATGTGTCATTTCAAACTGCAGGGAAATCAAAACGCTGAGAGAATGCCAAAGGGAAAAATGTCCTCCTCACAGGGGACGCTCACCAAGACAGCCCACACTCCAGGCCAAAACTACATCTTAGCCAACTCAGGAACCACACATGTCTACTCTTCCATTATAAAAGAATTAAACAAGGAATCGGAAGTAAAAAGACAGCTGTAAAATCCCTAAGTGGGTGGAGATTAAGGCACATGCTGCTAAGTAATGCACGGATTAAAGTAAAAGTCTCATATTTTAAAATATGTTGGTCACACCTTTAATCTCTGCACTTTGGGAGGCAGAGATGGGTGGATCTCTGAGTCAGAGGCCAGCCTGATCTAAATAGTGACTTTTAGGACAGCCAGAGCTATACAGTGAGACCCTACCTCAAAAAATAAACACACAAAAATATTTTGATCTAAATGACAACAGTTTACTGGAATGTGTGTGTGTATATGTGCGTGTGAGTGTGTGTGCGCGCGTGTGAGTGTGTGTGTGTGAGTGTGTGTGTGTTTTAATAAAATTGCTGCAGTAAAAGCAATGCTTTTTATAAACAGCATTTGTAGCACTGATGGATGCATATACGAGAAAGGGGATCTGTAACTGAGAATCAAGATTGTTCTTAAGAAGCCATGAAGCAAATTAGCAAATTAAATCCAAAGTAAGTAGAAGAAAAGATAGATGAGTTAGCTTATAAATTAATTAAAATGAAAAAAAAAAATCCAACAAAAACCATGAGGGCAGAAGGTCACCCTGTGAAAAGATAATGCTCTGATAACAGAAGGTATGATGGGATATTACTGTGGTCCCTAACACTGACCAGGCTGACCTCAGCATCCTCAAACAGCCGAACAGCACTGGCCTTTTCCACAGGGGGCTGGGACGTCAAAGACAAGGGCTCTGAGCTTGGGGCCAGCATACATGGTTGGGTCAGAGCAAAGGCTGAGGAGAGGAGGTGTACCCCCAGAACACCCAGGCCACAACAAACTCAAATCACCTGCTGCTGGTGGTTGTTTTTTTCACCCACATCTCTGGAAACTGCGGCTTCATTTCTCTGCTGGGTGGCCTCTTCTATCCGTTCTTCACACTGCTCCTTAACCTCTTTCATCTGGTTAATACACTGGCTCCTGGAAGGCAAATGGAAGGACCTGTGATGTCCCCGGCACCCCCTCCATCCCTGCTGGACCCACACCCACAATCCACACAGCAGGAGACAGGACGGCCCTTGCTTACTCTGGACAGGATCTGAAATGGGAACTTGTAAGGATTAGATGATAGGAAAGAAACTTGCAGGTAACCACACTCTAGACTCGTTACATTGTTTCGATTTCACACTCGCTTAAAAAAACACTGGCTACTACACAAGTGCCTACAAGCTTGTGATTTCCTGGCATTGAGAGCATCTTCTTCACCTGACTTTCCAGGACCACACCTGTGGTTATGCTGATGAGATGCCTCATCGGGGTGATGCTGGGCATTCAGCTCCACCTCATGCTACAAAGTGAAGGAGACCAGAGGGTCCAACCATGAGGACGATGATGCCATCAAGCATGCCTACCTAACAATCCCAGCTACCGTCTCTAGACCGTGGCATTCATCCTTCTGGGCTGGTAAGATACAGAAAACGGGGTTGGGCCCTGACTTCAAGGGAGTCATAGCCCCCATTCCCAAGCCTTGCCTTATAACTACTGCTTGTGGCTTTTGTACCGAAACCCTCGTAGTGAGTAAAGCTGTCCTCGGTTCTGTGGGCTGTGGGTGGCTGGGGACACACAGTCCTTGTGACTGGCCTGTCTTAAGAGCTTGAGTCCTTTAACCTGTGGGGCGTGGGTGAACTCTGGGCAGCACCCAGGCTGACTAGAGGACATCTAGTTGTCAGAGACTTTTATCTGTCAGGCACTAGAGGCTAGAGCCTTCCACTTGGAAGTCGCAGATTTCACCAAGGGGCAGAGCTGAAACCACTTGCAAATGAGGAAGCTAAGAGGTGCTCTGTCGCTGCTAGAGCTAAGAGACAGACTCAAGTCCCAGAAGACCACAGTGCTTTTTCTGTGCAGCCTTTCCTGAGTTGGAAGCATTCTGGCGCCTCAGTCCCCAGCATGGAGCGTACCCTTTGGCAGTGGAGAGCATGTTTGGACACAACATTCCATATGCAGAAGGGAACTGGGTGATAACTGATAACGGGAACCTCAGACAGACGAGAGAAGCAAAAACTTCACTGAAAAGCTTCCCACAGTCAGACCAGCGCAAGGGGCTGGGACACGGTGAATGAAGAACCGCGGCTGTGTAAGGAATGAACTAGCAGCCCATCTTCTACTCCTGAACGTCTATGCCTCCGAAGGGGAAGTAGCAGCACCCACCTGTTACTATGAAACTCATTAATGTGCTCCAGACATCATGCTTTTTGCAGGATTGGGTTTTGAAGTGATCAGGAAGCCAGGCAAACCACTGGCGCTTCAGAAGGACAAGGATATTCTGTGAGGCCACTATACCCTCAGCTGCTGGGGACTGCACACCCTGCTTAACTCTTGGGAAGCCGTTAGGAAAGGAAGCTCCGTGTAGTGATCCCAGCACTTGGGAGATCATGAGTTCCAGGCCAGTCCTAGCTATACAAATTCGAGGCTAGCCTGGGCTACACAGGAAGCCCCGTTTCAAAATAAAACAGGAAAGGATGCAAGGAATTTGGCAATGTACATCTAGTAATAAGCTAAACCTACACTGAGTGTCTTGTGGAAGAATAAAATCCCAAACACCTTTTAAATGATGAGCACCCGGAAGCTATATGAATTGTGTATGTATAAGGCAACTGTGTGTGTGTGTGTGCACGTGTGTTCGTGTGTGTGCGTCCGTGTGTGTTTGTGCGTGTGTGCATGTGCATGCGTGTGTGTGCCCTGCGCATGGACTGAGAAACCACTGTAGGTGATAGGGAAATAAGGACAGCTGTGCGCTGCCGTGTGGGTGCTGGGAATCGAACCCAGGTCCTCTGGCATAGCAGCCAGTGCTCTTAACCACTGAGCCATCCCTCCAGTTCCACGCCTGACATCTTTTAAGTGTTCAGATTGCCAAGGTAAGCGGTACCGCTGTGCTTTGTATTATTAAGTTTATGATATGTAGACATTAAGGTACGGTGACAATTCATTTCCTGCTGAGAGCTGCCTGTATGTGTGCACGCACGCATGCACCCGCGTACACACATAGCTTTCTCACCCATGGTAAGGGGCCGCAGAGATGGCCCATCGGTTAAGAGCCCTGCTGGTGACACTTACCAAACAGAATGTGCTTTTCTAAAGGACATGCATCTCAGAAGTCATGTGTCTCTTCTCACGCGATACACACTACACTACGAATACCAGCTCTGACGGGCAGAACGAGTGGCTGGACTCTGTCCTTGGCCTTTGATGTGCAGAACCCAGACGCCCCCCTCCCAGGGGGGTGGGACTCACAGGTCATAGGCAAACTTCATCTCCATGCTGGACTGGTTCTTCTGGAACTGGAAGATGTCCTGCTGCAGGATGCCATAGCTCCTCTGCAGAGCCTTCAGCTGGTCTAAGCCAAAAGGACAAATCACTTCACCCGTCTCTGTGTGGCTGATGCACCACTCAGACACACAAAACACAACAATCACACTCAGCACAGGCGGCAGCGAAGAGAGCATGCGGGAAAAAGCATCCCCGGCCCTGCCATCACAACGCCCGCCAGCCACCACCAACCCCCACCCCAGAAACCTGCGCCTCAGTCCCGTTCCAAATGTCCGTTACAACTTATGCTAAATTATTGCATTTTATCCATTTGTGCACCACTGGGCACGTGTGAGGGTCGAAGGTCAGCTTGTGGGAGTCAATCAGTCCTGCACTGTGTGGGTCTTGGGATCAGACTCAGGTCATCCGGCTTAGCAGGAAGTTCCTTTTCCTGCTGTGCCCCGACTCCACCCTCCCTCATACATGCTTTTTATACACAGCTTGAAGGCAACACCACACAAAGTTTTAAACAACTTTGTGCGTTCTGAGCTTGGCCTGTGGTCGGCTGTGGGATTTCCCACAGGTTGGTGTGCAGAGTCTCAGATCAGGAATGCGCATCCAACTCCATTACTCACTTGGTGGTGGGGATTGAACCTTGAGCCTTGCAAACACTAGGCAAGCGCCCCATACCCAGCACACCCCTCCCAGTACTTGTTAAAGATTCATAAACCAAAGGCTGAGTTATGTCCATCATACCTTGCAGTGTCACAGTGATATTTTATAAGGGCAGGAGAAAACTCCATTAAGGATGGCTCAGTTACTGCTAACACAAGATTATCGAGACAGAGCCACCTGAGGCCACTGTGAGGTGGTCGGGACAGGACAGCTGCTGGGCTGGCGGGAAGGGGCTTACCTTGCAGGTCTCTGATGAGCTTCTCGCCTGTGGTGATGTTACTCACTAAAATCGCCTGTAAGGAAGACAAACGCCGTGGAATCAGACTGCTCGCCTGGGCAACTCAGCCTTCAGAGCGGGTGTCAAAGGAGGAAGGCGGCACCCAGCCAGCCGTCAGGGAGCCACGCTCTGCTCCCTGCATTGTCCATCCACAGCGAGGGAATGCACCTGCTTACACATTTCTTTCCAGCCACCCCAGAAGTAATCAAAGGATGTCTCACTTCCAGTTCCCAAACACCTTTCCCGGCCAGCATAGCCTCTTCCTCTCCCTGGCCTGCAGACTCCAGACAGCCCCTGCCACAGTCCCCACCAGTCATGACGTGGTGGAAAAGAGGCAACAGGGAACCGTGAGGAGAGAGGAACGTGTTGGGTGAGAAGTCAACCACCTGGTCAGCGCACGCGGAGGACTCTGGGTCAGACAATGCTGCCTGTACCACATGCAGCTGTAGGAGCTGGATAGGTCATTATCGTACGGCAGGAGACAGGCACATGGGCCTAGGCAGTTTGTGCAAGTGGCTATATATCAAAAGTACCGAAGACACAAGTGCTACCAGACACACCCGGGAGAGCAGGCTCTTGGCGGCTGACCTGTCAGTGCCTGGGAGCCAGCGCAGAGCAGGGTTCACAGGCTGCACCTGTGATGTTAGCCCGAGGAGTCCCTAGAGACCGGTTAACGTGCTGCTGGGTGTTTATTCTGCAAACTGGTGGGAGCTGTGTACAGACAGAATGAGGCCTGTCCTCAGAATGGTGGAGTCCATCCAGTGAGCTTGGAGCTGAGGACCGCAAAACAGGACAAAGGATTTCCATTGGCGGTCTTGGATATGGGACATGGGGCATGGTACTGAGTCACAGCTGTGAGTCTAGAGCTCCGGGCTCTCTGCTCTTAGGACTCCAGGGCTACCACGAGCAGCTGTCATTCCTGGCTCTGGGACTTTCAGACATGGGAGTGAAGTAGTCTCCCAGTATCCAGTGTCCGGGGATCTCCAGTCCACAGGGAAGCTGGCCCTGCCACTCCCAGCCCCATGACCCCTGAGGCGATTTCCCTGACAAGCCCTCTCATGAGCAATGGGTCAGTACAATTGAGGACCCAATGCTAAAAATAAGCAAACATGAGAGAAGGGAGGCAAACACTAAACATACTCAGTAATGCACACAGGATGAGTGTGCAACACAGGCAGGGGCTTAGTCACATACAGGATGGGTGTGCAACACAGGCAGGGGCTTAGTCACACACAGGATGAGTGTGGTAGCAACATGGATGTTTCTTACTACATCCTCTCCAACAAACTAATACTCCACTAATCAACATGCTGCTAATAAAAGCACCTTCATTCCTTCTTGATGCCAAACTGGCCAGTTCCCACCCTGCCCTGCCCTGCCCTGCCCCGCCCATGTCCTCCAGAACCTCCTGTGACACAGCCTCTACATCTCCTGAGCCTGGACAGAGGAAAGGTCTCAAGAGGCAGACTCCTGAGCAACATCCAAGAACATGGGAATACATGCTAAGAGATGAACACGGGAATGCATGCTAAGAGATGAACACGGGAATACATGCTAAGAGATGAACACAGGAATGCACGCTAAGAGATGACATCCATGCAAGCCCTGACTTCTTTGAGTGAGTAGTTTGGGCAATGGTAGAGACGTCTCCAGAGTGGTATTGGTAAAATACCTCTACCAGAGAGACAGTTTCTAAAGTGTTTCTTTTACGCAGGAGAAGGAATGAGAGGAAGAGGAGAATGAGGGGCTAGGAGGGTCCACCCTCCCCAGCTCAAAAGATCTGCTGCTCTGGGCAAACAGGCAAGCATTTGCTCAACAGCATGGATGACTCTGTCCCAGATCCTACAATCTCTCTACAAATATACATGCAAAAGAATTCAGAAAGAACCCTCGGGCCACTCACATTCACTTCGGTGAGCCTCACAGCCAAGGGGTGAGAGATCTTATAGACTGTGAGTACAGACATGGCGTGTTGCCTAACCTTTAAAAAGGAAATCACAGCACATATGCAACACAGATGGACCTCTAGGACGGGTGCAGTGAAAGAATGGACCAGTCACAAGAGGAAGTTGTTTGTGTGTGTGTTTCATGACAGGGTTTCTCTGTGTGGCCCTGGCTGCCATGAACTCTCACTCTCTCTCTCTCTCTCTCTCTCTCTCTCTCTCTCTCTCTCTCTCTCTCTCTCTCTCTCCCCCTCTCTTTCTCCCTCTCCCCCTCCCTCCCTCCCTCCCTCTCTGTAGACCAGGCTGATCTCAAACTCACAGAGATCCACCTGCCTTTGCCTCCCGAGTGCTGTGGTTAAAGGCGTGCGCCACCACCATCCGGCTATAAAAGGAAACTGTCAACTAGACTCCACTCACATGAAAAGGAAGGAAGGTAGTTCCCATTGCTGAGAGGGGAGGATGGGTGAGCGGTCAGCGTGGTCTCTGTGACACAGACGTCCACTGCACAGCAAGGGGAACTGAGGCCCCTGCCTGAGCTCACCCTCCCCTGCTACCTTACCCCTGAGAACTACCAACGGCATTTCTGCTCCTCCCCTGCCAAAGACGATGTGTTCTCAACTCCCTACTTACTCATGAACAAAGGTCACGGCCTCCTCAGAGCATGGAAATGGGGACATAAAATGCCACTGGCTTTCTGCATATAATTTTAAACTTACAGAAAGTGCTGAAATTGTTTTCAAGAATATAAAAAATGCCTCCTAGCTTGTTTGTCTGGGGAGGGGGGTATATTTATAAGGAAGGGAACACTGCATCCATGCTTTTTAAAATTCCTTATACATCAAAGTAGAATCTGGAACCGTTGCTACAAAATTCCTGCTTCATGGAAGAGTCTGCCAAACACTATACAAGACACAGAGAAAAGTGACTTCAAAACCCTCCATCATGTCCCTGTTTGAGAGCTTACCCTGAAACACTGAGCTAGTTTTCCAAGAATCTCACACAAAAATAATTTCTTTTCAAACCAGTGTGTCTGGGATAAGTTAGTATGTGCGGTAACTAGCAGTTTAGTTTCCATTTAATTCTGGTGGCACCATTCGGGGACACCCAAAATCACTCAGAATCAAAGTTTGTGGAAGAACTAATGGTTCAGAATTGAATGTATTATGTTATCTAAAAAATAACTGCAGGGCAGACACAGCCAAAGCATATTATGGGGCTGTATGAACGAATGTTCAGATACCTGTAAGGAGTAGTGTCCTCCCTGCCGCCGGTCTGGTCTCCTCCTCCCCCAGGACTCAGCAGAGATGGGAACCCCTCTCCCCAGGGCAGACACACAGAAACTAGACTCATTTTCCTCAACAGTAGTCACTAACCCTAAAAACATCACTCCAGCCTGCCTCATCTGTCACGGCAGAGCTGGCCACACACACGCTGGCCTGCATTAGCTCCCACTGCAGAGGGACCCTGACTCGGGTCAGCAGACTCTCAGGAGACTAGCCCACACACAGCCTCAGTTTCCTCCCGAGGCTGTCCCTGAGCATTTCCTTCCACGTTTCAACACAGCTATTCCCATCACATCAAACGTTAAGCACGAAGACCCCAGGTCACCTGGGTCATGGAAACGTAGTAGTGTTTTTCCGTCATGTCAGCCTGGCTCTGATGGGAGGGGGAACTGGCCTTTCTGTGTCTGTGACATTGGATCAGGGTTGCAGAGGTCGCTGGTGGGTCACTGTGGTAAGGGACACCATGGTGACCAGGACACAGGAAGAGGCAGGGACAAGGTGGTGGCCCTGAGGACCTGCCTCTGTGACTTTCCTTGGGGAGATTGGGACAAACATTGTCCACTTCCAACAGACACAACGCGAGCCTAGCTTGGAGAACTATGGAGTTTTACTGGGTAGCCATAGCCACATGGGTGAGGCGCATGGCTGACTCCGAGAGGCTGACACTCACCCTGGTGTTCAGGCAGCTGCAGCTCCTGACTGCAGGCAGCTCTACCGAAGCCTCCCCACAGTTCTGTCTAGTGTCCCTCCTGAGGGTAAGTTTCCTGGCCATTCGCACCTCTTTGGTCAGCATCTGAGCGGTCCTCCTCCCTCTAGGAGGGCGTGGTTCAACTGGAAGGAACCAGCACAGGGCTACAGATGCCCTCTGTGACCTGTTTCCCTGCAACCTCTCAAAATAGTACTGCCAGCTGGGGCCAACCCCACAGTGCAGGAGCCCATGCCAGACAGTCCTCAGGCAAACCGCTAACCAAGCAGGAAAGGGCTTCCCTCCTTCTCCACAGCTGCGGTCCAAACAAGTTCCTCAGGAGGCTCGTAGGCAAGCGACAGACCCGGCCTCCACACGTGCTCCGTAAACTGCAACCATTCTCTCTCTACACAGCCACCGTTCTAAACACCAAGGAGCTGAATGTGTCTCCCTGTGGACCCTGGCTGTGCTGTGAGGTGGCAGAGACAGACAGCTGGGAAAGCATGGCTGCTCTCTGACAAATGCTGTCTCTAGGACTCCTCCATGCATCAGGCCTGAACAGGTGCACCAGACGCCCAGGTGGCGAAGCACCAAGAGGCATGGCAGTAAGCGGTCTGCACTGGGGTTTCTGGCTCGGCCCTGGGTGCTGGGCAAAGACGCTCAGCATTCACTGCCTCCAGTGTGTCAAAGAAACTCTCACAGCATGGGCAAACCCCACGTGTGCAGGATGCACCGGGTGCACACAGGCTGGCTGTAAGGACTCAGGCATCACGCTGGCCCGCCCCTGTCACCGGGCAGAACGAACTCAGGCAGCGCCCTGGTCAGCCCAGGACTCCATGAGTACTAGTCTGCAGGCAGGGCCCTTTAAAAGACAGGCCCGCCAATTACGATCTCTTTTGCTCTTCTCCTCTCCTCTCTCTGTCTCTCTCTCTCTCTCTGTCTCTGTCTCTCTCTCCCCCCTCTCTCCTCTTCTGTTCCGGTGTCTCTATGTCTCTTTCCCCTTACCCCTCACTTCCCTTTCTAAACAAACTTCTCATTCATTGAAGCTCTGTCTGTGTGGCGTGTTATTCCCTCCACCTCGGTCACCCTCGCCTGCCATGCTCTC